CGGACGAAATGTGGGTAGTCTGAGCTTCTTCTTGTTTTGCCCCCCCCCCCCCCTCCTCCTCCTCGGATAATATGCTTAAGATGGAACGACTTGGCCTTTAATTTTTTTTATAGATTTACCATTAGCCTTGTCTAAAAATATAAGAAAATTAAAAAAATATCGAGAAGAAATTTGCAAACTTTTGTTTTCGGTCACTTGATTTATTTTATTTTGTTGTAGAAAATTATTCATGTATTTTTTTATTATTTATTAAATCATTTATTTATTTTGCAGATGCGGAAAAAAATACCAGTTTTCCAGGGACGGAAAATTAGAGATGTTTGAAATTTGTATTTAAATAGCCATGTTTAATAACTTACACAAAAAAAAATTGTGCTTTAATGTTATTAATACAAAAAAACATAAGTTATAAAAACATAACATCTCTGATTTTTGGTCCCTAGGAACTTAGCACTCAATAAGATTTTCAAATTTTTTCACAGATTCATTCATTTGTTTATTTATATGCATCATTAGTTGTTTTTCACGTCAAAAATTAATATTTTTCAAAGCTATTTTTTTCCGCCACGTGTTTTTTTGGGAATCTTGTATTTTCCATTTTTTTTAATATACATTAACTTGTTTTTACTCTCACTGTTTAAATAAATATTGGTCTGCGAAAGACTTACCTGGGAATCGTATAGGTTAGGTATCACTTTTAAACCACTGGTTTATTTCATTTAACTACGTTAATTGCGGGTAATTCTAACTCGTAAGTAAACTCAAGTGAAAAAGACGAAAAAAGTCGCGTGCCTTCCAGAAAAACAACAAGCAACAACAACAACGGTTCCGCTAATCCGTTGTTGTTCTGTTTTTTTGGCATGTCCCGTTTGGTCTATGCATCTTGCACATAAAAGCAGGGTATTTATAGACATATCCGACTATGCAAATCGTTAAATAAAAATATATTTTGAAGACTTCACGTGTTAATAAATAACATTAATAAACATATACATTTTTTTAAGAAGTACAAATATTTTAAAACAGAAACCTATTATTTTAAATGGTTGTTTTATCATTTTCGAACAAATGTCGCATTATTCAAAAGGCAAGGGTGCACAATAGTCTATATATTTTAGTTGCTGGGCCTCCTTCCCTTCACACGCACTTTTCCGTCTGAGACATGGCGAGAGAGGGAGAGCCCAAAATTACTTTTTGTGCGTTCTCTTTGCGGACCCGACTGAGAGCGCGTCGCTTTGCTGCCGTTGCGCTCAGCTCTGCCGGCGTCGCTGTCTGCTCTGCTGACGTCGCAGTCGGCTTTGTGATGATTGGGCGCTTAACTCAAACGTGGAACTGCAGGGTAGAGACAAAAAAGTTGATATTTCTCTTTTTGATATATGGTAAACTTGAAGGAAAAAAAATACGGCATACTTATGGGCATTCTTTCTTGGGACTTTAGCTATTTTCAGCGATCAAGCCACCCCACCCTAACAGAATTTATTTTTGATGTAATGACTTCATTTTGGAATGGCACTCAAAAGCACTCGAAAAGCAAAGTAATCATTAGCTACAAAAAAAGCCGATAACAAAAGATCTTATTTTTGCAATATCATGCATCATTTTTGCCTGTGCGGCGCTACAAAAAGTGTAGCACGACACACGACTGCGTTGCAGGCTTCGTGGATTTTGTCATGTCCTTTTTTGAGAGGATCCGTTTTAGCGAGGCGTCAGCGTAGTGGCGCTGTCGCCGTGTGTGGTTCGGAGGAACAGGATAGGCAGTTACAAGAACGAATAGTGACTCTCTGTAAATCGACGCCTGTGTTCAGACCGAAACGCACTCCGCTCTAATGGAACCCGAACGTAATTCGACATAGTCATATACCGAAACATCTGATTCGCGACAATGCCAACTTTATAATAATTTTTAAATAAGATGATTTAAATATGCTGCATATATAACGGGACCATATAAACACAGATATGAATTATGAAACATTTGTTAAAATTTGTCAAAAATGTTAGGAGGAAAATCACGGATTCTTATTCATTAGGAAGATTAACGAAATGGATAACGGAAGATGCAGAAGAGGATTTGATCAATTTATTATGGTGATATGGAGTAATTTCAATATAAAGCTTGGTTGGATACTTACAATCCCATAGTTTATAAAGAGATTTCAATATGTCAAGATCACTTGCATTATCCTTAAATGGAAATAGTTCCATTATATATACAAGCTTTTTCCACCTATCGATTTTAATATGTATAATTCGATTCCAAATATTGATGAAAAAAATTATCTCTTTTAGATCGGTGACAATGTTATTACAATTACAATTCCAATACGAATTGAATGATATTGCCGATTTCATTTACAATAAACTAAAAGACTATAACCTTGAAAACACATTTAAAATCAAAGTAACAATAATACACTTCAAGTTGAAAAAACTACCATGCGAGAGTCAGTTTACTTTAATAAGGAAAGATCGGTTGAACAACTGTTTGGTTTCCATCAAAAATTACTAGAACCACATCCTACAAAAAACCTATCGATCAGATAAGACTGTGAACATATTAAAAATTAGTACAATTCGTTTGGAATGTAATGTAATCAGCGTTTCATATGTAGATAATACACCGAATCAGACGTTTCATGAGTTTGGCATTAATGTTTCGTCTGGGTATTAAATGACAGTGACACCACATAACCTAATTTATTTATCAGTAAACTGTGACGAAATAAGCATACTATCTATACGCATAGTTGATCAAAACGGTGATTTGGTGAATTTACGTGGTGAAAACGTTTCGATTCGCATGCACATTCGGTTAATAGAATGATTATTTATAACAAAAAAACGTAGCTTAAGTCCTCAGTCAAGCATTACTAAATGTAAAGCTATAGAAAGAGGATCAACAGTAAAACGAAGCTCACTTACTTTGAAAAATAAACTCTTCTTAAAGTCGTTAGGACTAAAGCTTCGAGTACAATATAAAAGGTTTTAAATGTTCGAGAAAAGGTTTACTCAGATGAGAGTATTTCGAAGAAAGAGTTTCATACTTATTATTATTTAAACCAAACGATGAAATTCGAATTACTATCCAAAATCAAGACTTGTACGTGCTTCCTCACGAAAGTTACCTTAATTTTCTAGAAATTATTAGAATAGATTAACCAAATGGACCTACAACTGATAATGTTACCACTTTTTTAAGATAATTGTATGGCTTACTTTTTGGTTGAAATGAAGTACGAAATAAATGGATATGAGATTGATAGAACACGATTAGTCGGTTTGACTACTACCCTAAAAAATTGTATATCTCTGGATAATCTTCAAAGTCAAAATCTATTACATTCAGGATGGAGCAGTGGAGACGTAATTTCTACGGGACCCCACTTCAACCTTTCTGTTCCATTAAAAAATTTGTTGGTGAGGATTTTAAAAAAGTTTTGTTAAATTGTAAGCACGAACAAGTGCTGATGGCGAAGTGTTTGAACAAACCAGAAATGAACAAATTTTTAAACTGGAAATGACGAATATAACCTGGAAAACTCCCCATGGAACTCCGAGCACACCTGCCAATCTCATTCCTGAGTTGGGATTCATGTTAACCCCAAATTGGGAGTCAACACAGCTGGAATGTGAAATTGTCGGCTAACCGCGAAAAACCAAGATTTGCCATTATTGGATTTACACTAAATGGATCACTTATCACAAATAACTTATCAAACTTTAAAGTTCACTTGAATTCTGAGTCATACCCATATGATAATCTGAATGTCGATTTAAGTAAGAATCAGTATGCTCACCCATATGAAATATATACAAGATTTCAATCTAGTTACTATAATCGTGAATCACAACCATATTTGACACCAAATGAATTGAAATTTAGAGCCCCCATTATATGATCTTTCATATTAAAACAAATCAGTGAAAACTGGTCCTATTGATGTGAGAATTTCAATAGAACTGGAGGCTCCACTATTAATTAAATGAAATTTTATGAAGAAATTTACCAATTTATTGAACAATTTAAAGCACAGATAATTGGTCAACATTTTCAATACCTCCTAAACACAAAAACTATGTTCATGAATCGAGGTGGACATGATCTCAAAACTACGAATTATGGTGAACACTTTACATTTTGTAATTTCCTGACGTCGGAAACGTGCGCCTGCCTCTTCTATGCAAATCGCCGGAATAAAGCCAGAAAATTAATTTTAATATATAATAAAACATGTTCGCAATACTAAAATAAATTAATAAATGTATTATTTTGCTACAAAATAAACTTGTGACGTTTTGTTTCGAGTTGAAATTACAGGTAAGGAAATTGGAAAATATTTCCTTGACGGAGATGTGTCAGCTACTTGCGAGCTGTTGAGACGTGTTAGAGATAGCAGTCAGCCGTGAAGTCGTTGGCGTGAGGCCCATGATCTTGTCAATGAGCGTGCGCTTTCAGGCTTGTGCATGTGACCATTTTATTGCGGTCAGGCAATGGACAGGTGCGCATGTTCGGGTAGCTCTTGCTTGAGGATACATGATCAATATTGTCACATGGGGATGTGGGGAACCTTTCTCTATTGCACAGCAACACCTGCTAAATATTAATTCCTTATAATGAGGAAAAAGGTTACGTGATCAGTATTGTCACATGGGGTGTGGGGGTGGGAGCCAATTAGTATAATTTTTATGGACATGATCGTGACATTTTTATGACATCTCAACTTATTAAAATCAGAGGCCGCATACATTAATGAGGAGGCAGAGGCTATTAATATGCTAGTTAGTGGTGGATGGGGGTCATTAATATGCTAATTAGTAAGGGGCGGGGGCCATTAATATGCAAATTGTACCAGAATCCCGGTTTCTATACTACTGGTGCTGCTATCTACTTTTCCCACCTTTGCACATTCCAAGTTTTCCATCATCCATCCATGTTGAAAATTCGACACATTTTGGCAGCTCTTTGGCGGGAAAACCCTCCTCCCACCTCCCCTGTGTCTGGTGGTCCAGCTTCGAAGCGATGAGATGGGTTAAAACGTCGTCAAGAATCTCCTGCGAGGTTGCCAATGTAGTAAGGACGCGCAAATGTGAATTTGCCTTGTTGCTCAACTGCCACAAACTACTTTCCGATGACCGAACGTGTGCCTGAAAGTGTAATAATTTATTATCAAATCGCAAAGTTAATTATTCTAATGCCCTGCCACAGTTCTTGTCAGTGGGCTCCAGGGATCGAATTGCGTCCAACGCTGTTCCGTCCAAGCATGAACGAAGATGCTGGAATTTTTTCACCTTTGTTATGTCCTCGTTTGTTCCCACAACCGTGTTGAACATGGCGTAAAGGTCCGGCCAACCGATATATGCTCCTCCAAATCGCGGAAGCTGAAATTCCGGTAGTCAGAATTTAATGCTGGAAGCTGGCGTACCCCGGAGCTTGCCCGACAAAACTCTTCGATATATGGTGCATGTTGCACAAGCTAGCTTGATATTCTATTATTTTCCGACATTTCGAATTATTTTTGGGTAGAGTATACGATAGTCACTAGAACGGAACTGAAAGCAGAGGGCAATAACCACCCCGGAGCTTGCCCGACAAAACTCTTCGATATATGGTGCATGTTGCACAAGCTAGGTTGATATTCTATTATTTTCCGACATTTCGAATTATTTTTGGGTAAAGTATACGATAGTCACTAGAACGGAACTGAAAGCAGAGGGCAATAACCACCATTGGATTGTGTGAGACGTCTGCAAAATGTATCGTTGCGTTCGAATTACGCATCCCCACCAGTTTCTTTAATGCATTCTATGACGCGATAGACACGAAGACGAAATTCTAGTATACTCGCTTGACACCGTAACGTACGGCACTAAGTCTGCAGCCTTTTTGGCAATTCGTAAAATCATACTTTTACGTGGATGATCTTATTTTAGGAGGAGATAGTATTGAAGAGGTTGTGAAAATTCTTCAACAAGTTGAGAAACTCTTGGACAGGAGCCATTTTCCGATTCGCAAATGGTGAAGGAGTAGATGATTCGGAAAAAGGCGTTGGGTCTGACTTGGTATACTCTATCGGATAATTTGCTCTTCAGCTTCTCAAGCGGGTGAACAGGCCAGCCCGCAACCAAGCGCAGCATTCTTTCGGCTATAGCTAGATTTTACGATCCCCTCGGATTAATAGCCCCGATCATCAAGCTAAGATTTTTATGCAGGTCCTATTGAAGGATAAGCTTGACTGGGATTCATTAAAGGGATTCCGCGTGTGCACTTCGCCGTGAAGCACAAGGGCCTAACTTCGAAGATGCAGAGGTCGCCAAAAAACAGATTTCTTTGAACGCAGTCTTTTATTGCAGCCATAAAAAGATTAATAAGCCTGAGGGGAAAGCCTCAAATGATTTGATCGGACAACGCAACCAATTTTGTTGGAGCCCAAAACGAGCTTATTGAGCTTCGGCAGCTGTTCTTCAGCGATCCTCAAAGCAGCGAGCTGTAGATTTTTCATACTACGATGGAAACCAAGGAGAATTTCATCCCACCTCGTTCCCCACAGTTTGGAGGCTTGACCGCGTTGTTGGAAAGTCGATTCCCACATCTCATGAGCTGCGCACTTTACCCTGTGAAATTTTCGCAATGTTTAACTCTGCCCCATTTCAGGAAACCCACTTGAGATCGATGCACTGACTTGCTCACTGCCCACTTTTTCATTTGGTCTACATTTACCTCAATGGACGATCTTGACATCACCCATCTGAACCTCGATCGTCTGAGCCGGTGGCAGCGTGTGTGCCAAATGCAGAAAATGTTCTGGCGCCAATGGAGCACCACTACCTCTCGTTGCTTCAGGAGCGGAGCAAATGGCGCTCTCCCGAGCGGAACTTAATCCAGGCAATTTAGTCCTCATCAATAAGGACAGCCTACCCCCTAGTGGTGGAGAGCACCGACTCCGGAGATAACGCCGTAGACCGAGATCCAAACTGACTCTGGGCTATGCCAGATCCAAACTGACTCTGGGCTATGCCAGCGGGAAACGAGGAAGTTAGCTGTCCTGCCCCTTGATACCACTTCACTTGAAAGTATGGCTCTTCCAACAAAAGGAGAGTGTCGGGAGCAGTCACTTAATTCAAGTTAAATCACTAATTGTCTTTTAATTGGTCAGCATTACTGACAAAAAATAATGTAAACTAAAGCTTGCTGAATCATCTATTTGCCTGCGGATTAGCTGACATAAGCGCATGGAATCGTTGATCATCAAACGGCTCATCCGGCATTCGCTCGTTAAGGTTTTCGCAATGCAGTCGCATCGCTGCAGAAATAAACACTTGCATAAAATCAATCTCTCTCGGCTATACATTTATAACCATTTCGGCCTCGCATACGTTTTGTTAAAAGCTCGCTTAAAAAGGTGGCATAAATTCATGCCCCCTCAAAACAAGTGTCTTGATGCAATAGTGAGTTAAGTGAATTAAGGTTTAACTACAATAAAATAAAAAAAATATAAAAAATAATTGTTTAAGTCAACGATCAATCACAAAATTAATTGCCGACAAACGTGGGGCCAAGTCATCAAAAGAAGAACAACACACAATCAAAAGGAAGGCCCCAGCGGACAGTACCGTGAAAATATGTATAATTTTATTAAAAATAAAATGAGGATCTTCACACTTATAAATTTAAGATCAAAAATTGATAAAATCAGTAATAATAATAATCAAATGAATTAAAGGAATCGATCTGAAAAATGTAATAAATAGTTTTGGTGAATTAAAACTAACAATGGCAACCGGACGTTCAGCAAATTTTTCTACAGGAAGCTAAGCTACAGCCAAAAACTTAACAGTGGAAATAATTAAAAAAATAGTGAATGTTCAATTAAGCCAAGTGAGCCAGAAAATAGATGGCTTAGAAGAAATGTTAGCTACTGATGCAAGCGCAGTGGAAGACTATAAAATTCAAGAAATCGACCGAACTATAACTTTTTAGTGATAAGGTCATTCACCGGGGAACCAACACAATACGTAGGTTGGAGGGAAGCTGCAGAAACTGAAATGAGTCTTTATAAAATTCAGAGTCAGTAATATTTTATCGCTCTAACAATTTAAAAAAATAAAATCATGGGAGCTGTACACGACGCTCTGGACAATCATGGTACCGTTTTAAATTATCCAGAAATATTGTCTAGATTGAATTTTATATATAACAACAAACGAACCATTCATATTCTTGAGTCAAAATTAAGGATTCTTAGGCTGTGTCGGATAACAGCTACTGAATACTATAGTGAAGTCAATATAAAAACGACTTTACTAATAAACAAAACCTAAATGACATACGGATAAGGGCAACGTTCTTAAAGGGAAAACAAACAAAAAAAAAAGAAACAATGCTTTTCGAATTTGTATCTCTGGATAAAACGGTTCAATCTCAGAAACCCTTTTCTCATAAAATCAAACAATTTACGTGCTCAATTTACAAAGAGGTATTGAAAATGTAAATAAAAATCGGTGAAATAACTTCAAATTTAACCCAGCAAGTTCCAAACAAAAAAAAAACTAAGGGAATGGGAAATAATTGCAATTATAATCAAAATAATAATTGGCCACAACATCTGATTTTTGTCAAAACAATCAGCACAATAACAATCAAAAACAACAACCTATCGAGCCAATGGACGCTGATCCATCCCTCCGAATTCAAAATAAACGTAGTAATGTTTTTCAGGCAATAAATAATCGAGACAGATATCAAATTAACTATTATCAGAACAATAATTGTTCAAACTATTATCGTACATACAAACCCAGGAAGCCAACTTAAGCTCAAGAAAGGGAAGGAACAGTTAATCAGCCTGCTAATAAGGTAACAAGATAAAATATTAACAATGAAGATAATTTTTTGCATTAGAACCATACAGGGGAGTGCCTTATTTAAAAAGAGTTGACAGAAAAACTAGCCACTGATTCTTATAATAAAAAGGGAATTTTCAAAAAGAAATATGAATTATCAATATATAAAAAGTATCTACAGTTCATGGGTACTCCATTATTAAACATAACCACAATATAAATATATTTGAAACAAGAATTTTTTTTATGAAATCGAAGGATTGGAATTTGACCTACGGATTGGCTTTAATCTAATAAGAACAATAAAGTTAGCTTCGGCAAGCCGGAGTTTGTATACCCTTGCAGTTATAATTATTTAATTTAATTCTAAATTCATAAAGAACAAAAATTATATTCCCAATAGTATAAGATAATATGTCAAAAAACACCGAAGCTATATTTTGTTTCATAATATTTTCCTACGCAATCAAAATTTCAATTGGAAAAGCCCCAAACCAACTAAAGGAGAAAACTTACATATTAATACATACAAGACATCTGCATGAATGGCAAAACCCCGCGGGTACGAGTGACAGACACGACGAAACACGACATAATAGGAAATGAGTGAGTAAGAGCGCGACGAAATAATACGACGTAATTCGAATGCATTTGAAGGCTGGCCAGAAAAAAAAGAAAGCAAAACAGAAGTCAATGAAATTAATTATATATATAGATGTGTTTATTTATAAACTTCATTTTAATTTCATTAATTTCTAACATATTAGAATGTAGAAACATTTGATTGATTTTGTCAGGGTAAGTGGCAGTCCGGCAACGTTTATCTGATATTAAATTTCTAAAACAGAACAAAACAACAAAATCTAAAAAAAAAAACATACAAAATCCTTCGCTTCTATCCCGTTCATATTCGTCCATTCGCTTTAAACAAATACTCGGACAACTCGAATGTTTTTAGCTGTGCTAAAGTCTCCATTCCGTTTCACGCTTCATTCATTGTCATTCATTCCACTCAATGTCTTATTCTGCGAGATTCAACACGTACTCATATAAATAAAACTTTGTTTCATTGTGCGATCAGAAGTTACTTAACTCAGCTCAATTCGAATGCCTTCTGTTTAAGGTATCTTATGAGTAATGCCATGCAGATGTTTAATATATTCTATGCGCAAAGTCAAACTTTTATAACTTGTATTGACGCGTTCTCGAAATTCCTAGTAGTTAAAGAAATTCAAAATAAATAACACATCGAAAATAAGGTAATGGAATTCCTTCAATAATTTCTCCAAGCCAAATTACTTATGACCGATAATGAAATCAGCTTTACGTCGGCACAATTTAAATCTTTTGCACAAAGGTGCGGATTAAATTAACACTACGCAGACCCGAGGAAAAGTACCTCAAACAAAGAAGTTAAAAGGGCACATTAGACACTAACAGCATAGGCTCGTTGCTTAAAAGAAGAATTTAATCTAACCGATTATTCTGAAATTGTTATAAGAGCTGCTCAGGTATATAAGCAGAGTATTCATTCCACAACGAACCAAAAACGTCTTGACATTCCTTGTAAGAAAATCGAGCACGATTATATTCCCCAAATACTGAAATAAAACTCAAGACAAAATGTTACAAACACATAATGAAAAAAGAAAAGAAAAAGAATATCATGTAGGACAAGAAATACGGGAAAAGGAATAAACTTAAACAAAGGTATTAAAAACATGTAGTTAATGAAGTTATGCCCAATGAAATAATAATTAATAGTAGAAACAGAATTATACGCAAAGATAATATGAAGGATTAACAAATTATTTTTGTTAACTTACAGAAAATGCATTCCCTTATACCTCTTTTGTCAATCATAATATTAGCCAGTTCAGAAATAGTTGATTGATAGTTCTGTTTAAGGACAACAAGGATGTTCTTACTGTTCCACGTAAAGAAATAATAAATATAGAATCAAATAATATAAATAAGATTCTATAAGGAGGTCACAATGGGAAATTAAATACCAATTGATTTTGCCAGAGTTAATATCTACTAAATCAAAAAGAGGTGGTAATGGTTGGCTGAAACTGCGGATCATGATGATTTTTTTAAAGTTCAAAATAAAATCAATGTCTTAATTGAAAATTCTAATAAACAATTTCTTATTAATTCCAAATTGTTCAAAGAAGTAGAATATCTTTCTGAAGATTTAAAAAAAGATTTTATTCATCAAGACTTACCATTAAGAAAACATCACATACGACTTTTCACATTTGACCTACAAAATTTAATTGATACTATCACACTGACGAAAATGATGTTTTTAATACTAAAATTGTAAGCAATGTAGACATCAAAGAAATACTAAAACACGAAAAAAGCCTGTAATTTTCGCTGAATTAAGGGATATCTCTGTATTCAAAATCGACCTGCATAAAGAATTATTAATAATTTATATAATGTACCAAATTATAATAAACAGATGCGAAACATATTACGCTAATAGGGTCTTCCCACAGAGATCCATCCACCATCTACCATCCGTTGAACGGATGGTCCCCATCCAGATTTGACGGACTATTTTATGCGATAGTTAGGCGATAATTTTAGGTGAAAACCCTAAACTCTTCTTCTTGAAAGTGGAAAGTGGAACATTCACTACGAAAACGTAAACAATAATGACGGGAAACTTTTGAAAAAGGAAGGCGACAAAGCAATAGGTATGAACATAAATGCTCTTTATATTTGTAATAATTCATTGCTTTTAATTTTACAGTCAATAATACGCGAACTGCCGGTGGCAAACTGAGGTGGACTAAGCAGATGGAGGTCCTGCTCATCGATATTTGGCAGGAGAGCATCGAGGAGTTGCGGGGAGCCCGAAAGACCAAGACAGGTAACTTATATGCGCGCAACAACATAATGGAAATCCACTCAACGATTTTATTCCTTGCAGGCAGGAAAAAAATAAAATGGGGCCAAGCGGTGGCGCTCCTTCCGCGTGGCAGTATTATTAGTTGGTCCACTCGTTTCTAGGCGCATACCGCATCCACAACATGGAGCAGAACCCCTTGGAGAACGAGAGTATGTCCCCACACTTATATTTTTAAATTAAAATGATCTAAAAAATGTATTTATTGCAGATACTAGGGAATAGTTTGTGGAGCTCTTGGATGCAGACCCAGATGACAGGGAAGCCTCTACCTGCAGCGGCAGTCAACGCTCAGGCGGCAAAGGTGGACCACAAGTCGGAGCTTGTGGAGATAGATCGAGAAAGACTGGAGGAGCAGAGAGCGCAGACAGAAATATTGTCGAGAATGGCAGACAGCCAAGTAAAATTCCAATCGGATTTGTTAGAGCTTTTAAGAAAATCAACGAATTCCTAATAAATTTATAATTTATAATAAATAGACCAAATGAAATGTGATATTTTATTTAAATAAAAAACAAACAGATTTATATTTTATGAACTTTATTTGTTACCATTTAGCCAATATTGGGAAATAGCTGCTCTTATTTTTTCTGCAGGTTGGCTAAAATCTGCAGACATATTAGTCCGAATTGGTTGTTCGCGTAGGTCATTTGCAGCCCGTTGCCAAGTTTCATTTATAGCGCTGCTGTGCTCATTTAAAATGTTGTGCAAAATGCAGCAAGCTTGAATGACTTCATTATTATTCTTGTAGTGGCTGTTCAGACCTTTCCCAATAAACTGAAATCTTGTCTTTAAATGGCCAAATGCATTTTCTACCACTAGCCTAGCTTTAGACCGTTTGTAGTTAAAATTTTGCTGTTCTTCGGATGCATTTGTGGAAAATGGGTACGGCTTCATCAGCGTTTGGGAAAATCTAAAGGCAGAGTCCCCAATAAGCAGCACCGGAACTTCAACGCCACAAATTTTCTATGTTTTTTCGTGAAGAAACGGAGAAGACACCATTTTCCTTGCCAGGCTCGACTTTTGAAATATAGTGGAGTCGTTGCAGCGCCCAGCAGAGCCGATGTTTACATAGGTAAATCTGTATCTGTAGTAAATTTAAAATACAATGCGTTTAGAACATTGTTGAGCTCTAAGAAGAAGGCAGTTTACCTGTTATCTACGAGAGCGAATAGTACTATTAAGTACCAGCCTTTGTAGTTGTGGTGATCGACTGCTTCTGCTGCTGACGGTTTTATTTCGATGTGACAACCATCTGCACATTATACATTGCTAAGACCATGAACTGATTTAATGAATTTATGTCTTACCAATTGCACCTAGACACTTGGGAAATCCGATTGCTTCGAATCCTTTGATACACTCGTCCACTTTTTCTGGAGTAAGATAGTCCGGTGACATGAACTCGCTGGCAAACTCAATAATGAGTGCCCGGCAAAATTCGTGGAGAATTTTGCACACAGTGTTCTGTGCAACTCCAAAAAGTCTTTCGATAGAACGATATTCTGCTGATGATCCCAAGATGTACAAGGCTATAGCGATCCGCTTTTCAAGAGGAATGGCATTTCGCCAGTTGGTGTCCTTCTTCCGCAAAACACCAAGTCGGTCCACCAAAAACAAAAAGGTACTCTTCTCCATACGAAAGCACTCTTTGAAGAACTCGTCGTTGTTTTCCGGTATATCCTTCTCCCAAAGTGTCCCGTATCGCTTCTGTTCAATATAAATCGCATTCTTTAATAGTATTTTTAATAGAATTTAAGAGCACGTACCAGCATCCACACACTTCGTGGCATTTGCTCTTTTGCAGAAAAAATGCTTTCGTACAGATCCAATTCGTCGTCATTCCACTCCTCTGAATTGGCTGCCAATAAAAGCTGATTGAACTTCACATTTTGCTGCAGCCAAAATAGTTGGTAAATTTTTCATTTTGGTCTGGCAAATCAACTTTAACAATTTTTGATTGTGTTTTTATTAGCCACAGCTGATCTGACAGCTGTTGTCGGATGGTAGATGGTGGATGGAAACGCGGATTCTTAGACAATTTCCATATTAATGTCATAAAAGGGATTTAAGCAAGAGCTACCCGAACATGCGCATCTGTCCATTACCTTTTTTTTTTGATTTGGTACGGTTTTTATTTACATCTGCCCAGTGGGCAATAAATTAAATGTTTTGATAACGTTGAATGTGAGTTAACAAAATCACAAAGTTTTTGTGATGAGGTTTTCTTGGGGTGTACAAATAGGTGGATGGGGGTGTGGTTAGGCTTGCTTCTAGGCAAGCTCGGTGTTTATGGATTTTGGCTATTAATCCGGTTGGAGAGCATTGACATCATTAAAGTCTGGAATTGGTTGAACATGGTGACCATCATGGACTCCATTTGACGCATCATCCTTTCCCTTACAAGGCATCGAGGGGGGATTATCGAAGTTTCCAGCTGCGCATGCCCTAGCAACGTTGGCCTGACCGCAATAAAAGGGACTCATGCACAAGCCAGAAGGCGCACGCTCATTGACAAGATCATGGGTCTCACGCCAACGACAATAGAATTGAAATCACGACAGCGTGAAAACTAGCAAGTAGCCGACCTATCTCAATCTAGGAAATATTTTACATTCTCCGTACCTGTAATTTAAACTCAAAATAAAAAGTCAGAAGTTTATTTTTAGCATAATAATACATTTATTCATTTATTTTGGTATTGCAAACATTTGTATTATATTACTTAATCTTTTTTATTCTTTTTTCTTGATTATAATATGTATTCATAATATTGAGTGCTTCCTTTTTGAAATCCGAAATTCGATGGCATACACAAGAATGCTGCATCATTGCTCCACACGCAGGTGTCTATATGATTCCATGAATAGATGTTTTCATATTATCTCCATTATATTCAAAGAGTTTTGATTGTATGAACTGGAAAATTATTTATTTTATCTGAATGCATGACACTTTTACACTTTTGAATATGCTTACACAATTTATAAAGACATTTGATAAAGGTTTTCATCTTCTTCATTTACCCCAAGATGTCCATTCTCGAAATTCAACAAATGAATATATTTGATTTTTCCCAAAGTCGAAATGATCTTTTCCTACCTGAGTAGCCCACTTCAAACACTATAAATGATCGAGGGCAATAGTTAGTCTACCAAAAATTGTCTTGAAGTGGGATACAATGCTACGTCAAACTCAACTTAAGTAACAGTGAAAATTTAAACAAACAGAATAAAATAAAATGAATAACCAAAATCAGTTTTGTCAATCCTGCAAGTGTTTCTTTCAAAAGAATAAGTGGGCAATCCATGTCCGTTCGGAGCTGCATAAGCGAAATGCAATTCAAATTCGAAAAAATTTCTGAGGGATTCAAGGGAAGAATACTGCATTACATGTTGGAACGGACTTGATCTTACCTGAGAGTTTCTTGAGTGAAGCTGAATTGTCACTGCTATCTCATGTCAGCATTTTATTAGAAACTTATACTTCAGCAAAAGTAATTATACCCGTTACTCGTAGAATAAAAGGGTATACTAGATTCGTCGGAAGGTATGTAACAGGCAGAAGAAAGCGTTTCCGACCCCATAAAGTATATATATTCTTGATCAGGATCACTAGCCGAGTCGATCTAGCCATGTCCGTCTGTCCGGATGAACGCTGAAATCTCGGAAACTATAAGAGCTAGGCTATTGAGATTTGGCGTGCAGATTCCTGGGCTTCTTACGCAGCGCAAGTTTGTGCAATGTGCCACGCCCACTCTTCCTACAGTTTTGATGCTAGAATAAAAATTTTAACTGAAATGTATTGTTCTCATCAATACCAATCGATTGACCCAAAAAAAAGTTTTCCACGCCCACTCTAACGCCCACAAGCCGCCCAAACCTGTGACGCCCACAGTTTTCAAGCTAGATAAAAAATTTTAACGGAAATGTATTGGTCTCGTCAATACCTATCGATTGATCCAAAAAAAATTTGCCACGCCCACTCTAACGCCCATAACGCTTAAATCTGTCTACCGCCGGTAGGTGGCGCATTTTAATCTCGCTTTGCTGCTTGCATATCTCTATTTCCCTTTGGTCCCTTTAGCTGAATAACGGGTATCTGATAGTCGAGGTACTCGACTATTGCGTTCTTCCTTGTTTTTTAACTGTTTTAAGAGTATATATATATGTATACATTCTTCGATTTAGCATCGCTTGTGACCGGTGTGTTTATCTTGTGCTCTGTGATTTTTGTCAATTTGTCATTAATATCTGTGATACTGGTGCCTTGCTTTGTGACTTAGTTCAACATAACCAGCTTGTGTTTTAAATCGTCTGTTTATGTTTAATTGTCCATTTTATTGTAGCAATTTTAATAAAACCTTACTCTGCTTTTAGCCTGTGCACTTTGTAATTGTAACTTCTGTGCTTCAATAGCTTTTGTTGTTGTTTCCCATAACTTTCTTGTAATCTCTCTGCCGTTTCTTGTCGTCTAAACTGTTGTCGTGTATATTTTCTTTTACAAATTTATAAATAACTTTTTTTTCTCTTAAATTAAAATACTTAAAAAAATGCTTTTTTTTTGCTCCAGAAAAGGCTGTCAGTTTGGATCGGCACCTAATGACGTTTTTATTTACTGTCGTCTCTGCAACATAGTCTTACATCCGAAATGTGCTAGACTTGTTGGCAGAGTAAAAGACTATATTAATCTGCGTATTTTTTCACTGCCAGCAGTACCCATATGTACCAAAAGCTCTGGAGGAGTCCCTGTTTCTGTTAGTCAGCCTAAGGGGTCAAACACTACGCAGCTTTCTGTGCCTACAGGTGAAGTTAGCTCTATAGGAGTCCATAGTATCGATAATCAGACAATCGATGTTCAGATTGCTGGTGGCGGAAGAAAGAGCCTCTCGGTTGTTCCATATAGGAAGAACATATTTGTGTCTCGTTTAACACCTGAAACCAATTCGGCAGATGTTTTGGAATTTATACACCAGGAATTCCCGTCTTAAAGCACCACAGTGGAGGAGTTTATGGTGCTGATTGCCGTTACCTCTACTTTATCCCAATGACATAAAATTCGTTGGTGTTAAGGTTTCTTTGAAATCTTTTTAGATTTATGTAACTTGTTCTTATATTCCACCTGGATCCGGCTTAACAATTTATGAGCAACATTTGGCTGCAATACAAATTGTTTTATCTCATCTTTCCGATAGGGTTCTTTTGATTGTTTTTGTTTTGTCTCTACCCCTTTATCTGTCTATGACTTCGTTGACGGTCTGTTAGAATTATCATTACAGCAAGTTAGCTTTATACGTAATTCACTAAACAGACAATTAGATCTTGTATTTGTTTTTGATCCGTCTGAAGTCATGGTATCTACAATTGACCCACTAGTTGTGCCATAAGACCGGTATCCTCCCACATAGGAACTTACGACTTGTCTTCCTTGCGTTGATACCCACTCTCCTTTACTTTCTCCAACTAAAAGTAGATGCTTTCGTAAA